GGGAGAGGAAAAGTACGAAGAACAAAAGCTTGAATGAGTGAAATATCTTCATGGTGATAGAAGCACATGACCTTTGGGGATATACTTATATTCACTGCACTTGGGGGGAGGAATAAGAATTTTAACTCAAAATCAAATTATTATTCAAGATGTAATCAAAATATATTGTTTTTTTAATATCTGAGATTATATTTTATTTTTACTATTTAAAATCATAGTACACATGGTACAAATCAAATAAAAATAAATAAAAACAATTGGCCACATCAATCTTACGGTTGAAGCTCTAATGCTTAAAGTATATTTGGTCACATATACATATAGTGTACATATTAGGATTTAGCATGCCAACAAAATGAAAATACAGATACGCCAGTCCCTAAAGTAAATTTCTGGAAGAGCAAAATCTTGGTTCATTGTGTTTGAGTATTTAATTTTACAGTAAGTACATATATCTCTGTAATTTGAATTCACCTTCTCTGATCCTAGGTCGTTTTTACTGGGTGAGAAAAAGGTAAAGTATATTGAAAAAAATAACAGTGGAATATATCTCAATCTCCTAAGTATATCTAACACAAAAAGCCAAGAAAAGTTTATAGCAAATAACCACAGTGGTAGACTTTACCAATGTGAAGCAAAATGATTGAAAATATGAACTTGTCTTTCCAAATGGAATAAATAATTTAATGCCTACTAGTTTTTCTTGTTATTGGTGGTGAAAATTAATGCCTACAAGTTGGTACTAGGAAGTATATATGTAAAGTATACTCAGTTATAAAAACTAAGGAATTTCACTCATTAAATTAAGAAGGAAAAAGGGACAACTCTACAATCCACATGCATATGAGAAATTATAGCTAATTAATTAATTAAAAGTATCAAAATTGTTATACAATAAATGCAAGAACTAATCAAAGGACCAAATACAGAAACTTCTTGTTGGCATATACCACCAGCCAATAAGTCCACCAATTGTTTATTAATTAGTCCCATTTGAAGATATAAATTATATTTAGTGGATTGTTCTTGTGAATTATTGGTTCCAAGTTGACAATTTGTTAATGGAATCTAGCAAAATCTTACAAACACACACAAAGGCAACAATGCAAATTAATAGAAACATGTATTGTCAACTATAAACCAATGGATTACAATTTATAACAAGTTTTGCAAACCATATAATAATTGCTTATTTTTTATTTGTTTGTTTGTTGGTTTTTTATATCCATTCGGTATTAGATTTATTAAAGTGGTGAGATTTCCATATCTATTAAATTAGTAGTATTGTATATATAATTATAATCAAAATCTCTCTATTTATTATCAATTAATTTTAAATTGAATCGACCAAGTTTCTAGCCTTAATATTGCAGGCAGAAGACTTAATGCGACAATACACCCCTTTTCTCTAGGAGAATACAAGGCAATTATATATCCACCTAACAACCTAAAACTGCACATGTCAGAAGGATAGTCAAGAGATGATAGTGTCACATCTATTAAGTTAAGAATATTCAAGATAAATAAATATAATAAAAGTCTCTTCATTTATTGTCAATGAATTTCAAGTTAGATGTCAATCTAAATTTCAACAAAATTAGCTTAGATGGATGCAGGTATCCTTCTTATCCATTTAATGATCTCTGCATTCGGGAAACCTAAATCGGATCTAACAACGAGCTGTTGTACATGCAACTGCAATGCTGTCGAGTTACATCATGTTAGTGAACTTTGTACAATATCATTGAATTATAGGTGGTTGTGAATTAGTGATCAGTTGGGTAGTAAGCATTAATGCTGCCAAGTTAGTCGAGAACCCAAAGCCTTTTTCTCTTTCAAACGACAAATAAAATACATGTTGGATAGTGTAGCACGTAATTTAAGCATGCATGTGGCTTTTCTTTGTTGTAGAAAACCACGTTCAATGGCTTGAAAATCCAGACCAGTTGATATGCAATTCAATTGACCTTACAACTTTCCCCTTCACATATGACACTGACCACATGTCTACAATCATTATTTAGTGGAGACTACACATATGCTTTGAGGAAAATACTATTTCTCTTATCATTTTTGTGATAATAATTTATTATTAATTTGATTGCAATATTTCATTTATAAACTAATTGATTTACTCATAAATGGATAGATTTCATCTCTGAATCTATTCAATAATTACATGTCATGTAAAGAATATAAATATATAGTTGAGATAAGAGTGACGGGCAAGTAATATAACTTCTGTTCTCTGCTAAGTAAGCATCAAGTTCTTGAAGGAAGACTTTTACAAAACTATTAGAATGTTGAAAAGAAAATTGGAAACACAAACACACACTAGCATCAACTATTATGTGATTTATATAAAAAAAATAACCTAGAGAAAAATAGTGAATTTTGTAAATAATGTGAATAAAAATTAATAAAAAATAATTATAAGATATGTTAGAACGTAATCATAAGTTGAGTCATTTCTCGAAAATTTAAATTTTTGGGATAATAGATTACATCAACATGATATCAAAATTGTGTAACTCAAATTAGAATCTTGATAATTTCACTCATTTTTTCTTTAACTTTTTCATATGGTATCTTACCCATTTATCAGCTTTATGTGCAATGCTCTTTAACCATTTCTAACCTTGTACTCTTCTCTTTTTTTTATTTTTAACACTTATATTCATGCAAAACTCATTGATCATTAATCTGACTTTTATGTGACGGGACAATTTTGAAGTTAAGCATATTTAAAATTTTAAAATAATTCATATTTCAACTTATCTAAAAGTGAAACAATCTTGAAGCTCATATGAAATAGATGTATTTAATTTTTAATTTTTGCAAAATTTTACAATTGGTCTAGAAAATTTAACAAAACTATTAAAATAAATAGTACATAGGCATGGTTTTCAATTTTCATTTTCTAGAAAAATCGTCCAAGTATCATTGAACCGTAAATTTTTCGGATCTAAATCATGTAATTTTAAAAAACTTAAACTGAAGTTGTTAGTAATAATTAACTTAAATTATCTTAATAATTATATTCACATCTGATGTGAGATAAGATATCAAATCTAATGGCCATGTTCTTCAACTTTGAAAAACAGACATATTTTCATAAAATTTATAGGAAAAAAATGGTGATAGAAAGCTAAAAGTTATATTAAAATGTGCAGTATTATTGAACATGAAAAAAATCCTTGAAGCCCACTTTCAAAATATTAATAGTCCAAAGATGATAGTCCAAAGATGAAGGACAAAGCCCATTTGTAGTACATACTTCCTTTGGGAGCATTCATTTCAATGACCTACCTAGCCCACCGTATCCAATTAGAGTTCTACTTTTCTTGTGCGACACAATTTCTAAATATTACAATAGTTTTGGTACTATTTATTTAGTAAGAACAAGTTTGTTAGAAATGCTAGTTCAATAATAATGTGGAAAGATTCAAAAAGGGGTGAATTAAATTTTTAAAACTTTTTTCTCAAAATTAAATTTCCAATGAAGGCAAGCTAAAACCAATTTTCACAAAATTGTATTTTTATCAAAATATACTAAAAGTAATTTGAAAAATAAATTAAAGAATAAACAAATTAAAAACAAATTTTCAAAACTCTTCAAAGTAAAGTAAAATGCACAAAAATAAATAGTGAAGAGTAATGAGAAAATGCACAAAAAATTTATAGAAGTTCGATCCTTTCTTGATGCTTACATTCTCTCTTTAGCAAGCTAAGGAGTTTAATTCTCTATTGAATAAATTCAATACAATGCCTTTTAAAGGTTTAAGCATAACCATTACCTTTTCAAAGATCAAGCATAACTATTGCCTTTTCAAAGTTCAAGCACAACCTTTAAACACTACCATTTGAAGGTTAAAGTATAACTTTTATACCTTTCGAGGATCATACACAACCTCTAAATACTACCTTTCAGGAGATAAGGTAAAACCTTTTCTTTTTTACTATTTTAAGTAGTAAGAATACTTCTAAAATGTGGGCTTTGCTACGTAAGTACAATGTAGATAGAGTGTGATGAATACACAAATGTATTCAACAAATAAGAGTGGTAGCACAAAGAATTTGAAGCTCAAAAATAGCTTAAAAGCTAAGTGAAAAAATACTTTTTGCTTGCTCTAGCTTGGTTTCTATTTCCTTTTCTTCTTTCTCTTAATAAGATTTGACTTTTAAGTATTTAATGTTTTTCTCCACTTTTCCAACTTTGTAAATGTGTTAGAGAAGCTCTTTTTATAATTAAAGAAGCTTTGTAGTCGTTGGATAAGTTTTGGTGAAGAAAATAGGTATTTTTTTATTATTTTCGTGTATAACAACTAGTTTTAGATCAAATGTATCGATGCATTTTAATACATTTTGGAATTCATTGATACATTTTAAAATATATTAATAGATTTTGGAAATGTATCCATACATTTTGGAATATATCCATACATTTTGGACATAATCATTTTGTTAAAAATGTATTAATACTTTTAATCAAAATATTGATACTTATAGCTTAAAACATAGAAAATTCTTCTTTTTGAATTAAATTTGATGCCAAATATATGGACATTTCAAAATCCAATGCAAGGGAGGTTTAACACTAATTTAAACAAGTTTAAAAATTATTAAAACAAGTTTAAAAATAGTTTAAGCAATTTTAAAACTAATTCAAGCAATTTTAAAACTTTTGACATAGAAACACTTAAGATCTTCAAAATTCTTTAAACAAGTTTAAAAACTATTCAAACAAATTCAAAAACTCATTCAAAAAACTTCAAAGATCATTAAAGTAATTTTGATCTTTTTCACATGGAAACACTTATGCAGTTCAAAAGCAAATGTATGGAAGTTTGTAACATTAACAAATTAAGTTCAAAAACACACTTAAGCAACTTCAAAAATCATTCTAACAAGTTCAAGGATCACTCTAACAAGTTCAAAGATCATTGAAGCAATTTTGATCATTTTTATCATTTCAAAACTATAATCATTTCAAATAAAGTTAACAAGGTTATATATCCACTTTGAATTTATTTTCTTAATATCGTCAAATTAACATATTTGATATAAAACAAAAAACTTAAAAAGAATGCTTCGACTTAATTTTAAAATCTTTATGTAAAAACCATTTCACCTAATACGTTCTAGATCACTCAATATTCAATAGTTAAAAGAACCATATTTGTATTACTCACACTTTTTCAAAGACTACAATTGATTAAAAAGGTGGTATTAAAGTGTACCGAATTCTTTACTGACATGGTATCTTCCATTATAAATATCAAGATTAAGGTAAACCTCACTAAGATGAACCTCTCTCTTTTATGAGTGAAAGAGCTATTGCAATGCGGCCTTACTACAAAGGTGAAATGTATTCTTAATAGAAGTTACTTTAACCAATTAAAACTTTTTTGTTTTACAATCTGCTTCACTATGTTAGCCGATTAAAGATGGCTTTAACCGATTAAGAACATTCTATTTTCAAGTTTCTCCAACCAATGGTTTTTCTTTAATTGGTTAGTTCTCTCTTTAACTAATTGAGGCTCTTTTTCCTTCAACTATAACTAGCTGAAATAAGCATTAGCAAATTAAAATATCTTCAAATTTAAATTCCTTCACTTAGCGCCTTTCAATGGTCTCTTTCATTTTAAATTTGAATTTTGATGCTTTTGGGGACTTTAAGTTTGACCTTTAATCAATTAGCCCCTTTGGGTAACCAATTAAAAACTTTCTGTTTTACGTCCAATACTCTCTTAAGTGATTAAACCATTGTTAACTATCTTTAGTATAGCACTCAGAATTACTTTAACTAATTAAGGATTTGTTTTAATCGGTTAAGACTAATCTATCTTCATTAATGCTTTTTCTTCTTTGCTTGTTTAATCAATTAATCCATCTTACAACTGAATAGGCATCTTGATTTGTTTTCAAATACTAAATCTATTAATGAATTTAAACTTTTGTTTGTACACTTATATAATATAATTAGACACCAATGAATGAAAACTGTTTTATTATTATAAAAAACACATGGAATCAATCATACTTCTTAGCGGTGCCACGATCTAGTGATCCCCAAGAGAGCGTGGGATTTGGGGTGCATGACTAGGTCATGCTCCCCTTAAGGAGATCCAATCACAAGGTGATTGATCGACATAAGGGAGCGTTATTAACTTGACCTAAGAGAAAAGAATATGGTGAAAAAAAAATATTTTAAATATTTTATGTTTATTCGTTAATGTCGTGTACACGGTTGAAGTAAATTGTATATTTTAAAAATTAATATATTTACATAAAATTATAGATAAATTTGAAGAGTCAATGTACTTTTTATTTTATTTTATTTTATTGGATCAAGGAATCATGACCTTATAATTTTTTGCATTGAACATTTTCTGTTTGAGTGGATTAAGTTCTGCAAGTTGGCAAAACCGGACAAGCATTGAAACATGTGACGTGAGTGGAGAACAAAGCTCTTTTCCCTTTTTTTTTTTTACTAAATTTAATAATTATCAAAGTATAATAAAGATCATAAAGTAATCTTCATTTAAATTTTATGATGTCTATTTTTTCGTATGATATATAGTGGTTTTTAAATTTATATTAAGGTAAATTTGATGGAAAAAACATTTCTGTTAATGCAAATATGATTAAAACATAATAATTATAACTAATATAGAAGTATCTTCTCTCAACCTAAAACTCTAAGGAGTGGCATACAGAAGTTGAAATTTAAGTGTATAGGACGCCAACGTAAGGCTTGACTACTGAACCTATGTACAATTTTCCATTTAATTCTTCAACTTCACTAACCGATTCAAACCAGATTCCACCATCTCCATCCAACTGCTTCATAATCTTTCCCTCTTGGTCATATTTGACCCCGACGGGGTCTAGAGTAAACCAAGGGATAGTTGTTTCACCAGACAATTTGGTGTCGCCGTCATTTTGGATCCTTCCTCTTCCACTGTTTAGTGCTACCCAAAACTCTCCCTTATCATTTCTCTTGATGTTATCTGGCATTTTTGGCAACTGCGCAAACTGTTCTGGAATATAGCTGTCTGTCGTACTATCAAGGTTGAACTTCAAAATTCTCATTTTATTTGTTTCAGCAACTAAAAGGAATGAATTGTCTTTGCTCAAAGCCACCCCATTTGGAAACGCTAAACCCTTGTATAATACCGTTACTTCCTTGGTTTGAGAATCATATTTAAGTAATCTTCCGCTTCTATCAAACATCATTGGTGATAAAAAATAATGCCTACATCATTATAATAATGATAATTAATTTTCGTTTATATATATCTATATGTCAATAGAGAGAGAAAAATTGAGGTACCTTCTTTGGAAGATAATGCTACTATCTGTAAAATAAACTACTCCAGTGTTGGTATTGATGTCTAAAGCATTTGTAAATTTGAAAGGTACTCCTTCAGCTGAAGTAGCTAGTTGTTGAGCCACCCCACCATTGGGTCCGACCAATAGGAGACCAAAGTAAGCATCCGCAATGTAGAGATCGCATGTTGCACTGTTGAATTTCAGACCCAGTGGCCTTCCACATGTTGGTTCAAGGTCTGGATTTGTTGACCCATCGCACACCTTCCTATCCCTAACCCAACAAATCAAAGAAATTAACCAGCAATCAATCAGTTGTTCATTAGTTCAACCATATAGTAATTTTCTTCTGTTAGAACAAAAATATGGTGAATAATTCCAAATTAAGTTCTTCAAGTCAACAAGTACTACTAACTTAAGAGAACCAACTAGACAAATAACCATTTTATTTAGAATTTGGTATTCAAGTTATTAAATTCAGTAAGACTTCAAATAGTAAAAGTATAAAAGGGCAAGAAATGTTGGGTCAGCTCAGCTTTCAACGCTAATTGTTGAAAAACAGATAATACAATGTTCGATATGAGTTGGGAGTCGTATTGTGGTTTACTTCTTTGAATATCTTAGCTCAATAAGCGCTGACCCAACTGTGTGGTTTTAGGTTTATGTTCTAGGAAACATGCATGCGGGATAAAATAGCTATAAAGAGGCTCAAACAAGTGCTTCTATAGGCAAACCGAATCACTGACACCATCATGGGGTTGAGAAAATCACTGTCCTGGTCAAAATTTTACTGTAATTCAACAAACTCCAGTTTCGAACAAGATGATCATGCCTATGATATATTCATGGCTGTAACTGAGCGGTAATGCATGGCTGTTACATTTTAACCATGACGTATAAAAGTTTTTCGGTAATTTATAGGGGGCTGGCAACAAGTGAAAACCACTTCGGTAATTAGAACTGGAAACAGACCAGGTAAATGGCCCTGTTTTAAATTCTTAGTGAGTTGTTTCCAGGGGGTTGAGTTGAGTGGAGTACTGGCAAAGAGCGAGTTTTTTTGGGATTCTTTCATAGTCTAACAACATGTCACCGTTAGATTGATGCATGAATGAAATCTTATACCTTTCAAAAAAAAAAATCTATCAAAAACGGAAGTGTTTGCTTCTCTTAAACATAAAGTTGCAGCCTATACTCTTTATAGAAACATGAGAGGAAAGAAAAAGTAATCGTATTCATGCAGGCAGATGTAGAATAAAATACCTGTCTGAAGAAGGTATGGCAAACTCCTTCCAAGCAAGATTGGGTCCTTGCCATTTGAGTATTCTGCCATCAGAGACACCAACATAAGGCCCTTGATTTTTGCAATCAAAGGCGATGCTTTCAGGTCCTGTGACTTGAGGGAGGTCCATTTGGTAGTAATTCTTATGGAGGTCATCACCCTCAGGAAGTTGTTGAAAGGATTTTATGATGTTTTGGGAGAGGAAAAGTACGAAGAACAAAAGCTTGAATGAGTGAAATATCTTCATGGCGACAGATGCACATGACCATTGGGGATATACTTATATTCACTGCAATTGGGGGAGGAATAAGAATTTTATCTCAAAATCAAATTATTAGCCAAGATGTAATCAAAATATATATTTTTTGTTTATTTTTTTTAAAAAAAAATCTGAAATCATATTTTATTTTTAATATTTAAAATCATAGTACATATGGTACAAATCAAATAAAAGAGACGTAAAGGAATTACCATGTTAAAAACTTTAATGTGGCCTGCCCCTTTGCCCCTTCTCACCGCACTTGGTAAGTGGTGTAATTAAAGGAATAAGATAGTAACCCTTTGAACATTACCTCTCTTTTATCTCTGATAACAAAGTACTATTAAAACACATCAAGAGAGAAATTCTAATATAATACATAATCTTTAATTAAATCAAATATTAAATTAGTGAAAAAAAAAAAGAGATGGATTTGACCTATCGACGTCAAAATTATTGATCTATTTTTAATGTAAGTATCATGGATCTTATATCAATAAAAAATTTCTTCACCTAATAAATATATAATTTAAGTTGAAAACATAAATTCATGGCATAAGCATTCTTTCTTTACCTAATTAAGAAATAAAACGAGTGACAGATTAATCATGCACATTAAAATGTTTTCTTTAATTCTTAGTTATGTCACGTTGTAATTGTTAGTTGGTGGCGAAGGTAGCAGGGCACATGAATTGGGGGGTTTTTTTTTTTTCCTTCTTTTGGTGAAAAAGAAATATCCAATTGCATATATATTTATTTTTGAAAAATATGAAAAGTTGGGATATATTGCAGAATTATTATTAATGAATGCATATTAAATGAAACGTAAAAAAAAAAAAAGAAAAACAAAATTAGCCGGGATGGTAGATGGATATCATACAGGTACCCTTATCCATTTAATAATGATTACTGCATTGGGAAAACCTAAATGGGATCTAACAATGAGCTGTTGTACATGCAATTGCAATGCTGTCAAGTTACATCATGTTAGTAAACTTCGTCCAACATCATTGAATTATAGGTGGTTGTGAATTTGTGATCAGTTGGGTAGTAAGCATTAATGCTGCCAAGTTAGTCGAGAACCCCCAAAGGCTTTTTCTCTTTCAAACGACAAATAAAATACATGTTGGATAGTGTAGCACGTAATTTAAGCATGCATGTGGCTTTTCTTTGTTGTAGAAAACCACGTTCAATGGCTTGAAAATCCAGACTAGTTGATATGCAATTCAATTGACCTTACAACTTTCCCCTTCACATATGACACTGACCACATGTCTACAATCATTATTTAGTGGAGACTACTACATATGTGCCTTGAGGGAAATACTGTTTCTCTCATCGTTTTTGTGTTAACATTTTTGTTCCATGTGATGTAATAATAATTTATTAATTTGATTGCAATACCTCATTTGTAAATTAATTGACTTACTCATAAATGGATAGATTTAATCTCTGAATTTATTCAATAATTAAATGTCATGTAAAGAATATAAATCTTTGAGGTAAAAGGGACAGGGCAAGTAATATGACTTCTGTTCTCTCCCAATCAAGCATCTAGTTGGATGAAGGAAGCCTTTTACAAAAGTATTGGAACGTTGACAAGAAAATTGGAAACACAAACACACAACAGCATCGACTATTATTTGATTATATAAAAGAAATAACATAGAGATTGAAAATTAGTGAATTATGTAAATAATGTGAAAAAAAATTAGTATAAAAAATTATTATCATATTTGTTAGAACTTAATCATAAGTTAAGCCATTTCTTGACAATTTAAATTTTTGGGACAATAGATTACACCAACATAACATGATATCAAAATTATGTGACTCAAATTGAAATCTTGATAATTTCACTCATTTTTCCTTTAAATTTTTTATATGATATCTTACCCATTTATCAGCTTTATGTGCAATACTCTTTAACCATTTTTAACCTTATACTATTTTTTTTTTAACATTTATATTCATGCAAAACTCATTAATCATTATCCGACTTTTATGTGACGGGATATATTAGAAGTTAAACATATTTAAACTTTTAAAATAATTCATCATTCAACTTATCTAAAAGTGAAACAATCTTGAGGCTCATATGAAACAAGTGTATTTAATTTTTAATTTTTGCAAAATTTTTCAATTACCTTAGAAAATTTAACAAAACTATTAAAATTTATTGCACATAAGCATTGTTTTCAATTTTTCATTTTCTAGAAAAGCCATCCAAGTATCATTAAATTAACAACTTTTCATATCTAAACTATATAATTATTAAAAATCTAAATTCAAATTGTTAATAGTGATTAACTTAGATCGTTTAATAATTACATTCACATCTGATGTGAGACGGGATATCATGTTTAAGAGAAATGTTCTTTTTCAACTTTAAAAGCAGATATATTTTTCATAAAATTTATAAGAAAAAAAAACAAAAAGCGGTGATAGAAAACTGAAATTTACCTTGAAATGTTCAATATTTTCTGAACATGCAAAAAATCGTTGAAGCCCGCTTTCAAAATATTAATTGTCCAATGATGAAGGACAAAGTCCATTTAGAGTACATGCTTGCTTTGGGCTTAGTTAGGCATTCATTTCACTGACCTAGCTAGCCCAACGTACCCAATTAGAATTCTACTTTTCATGTGTGACATTATCTTTAAATAGTGCAATAATTATGATATTATTATGAAATATAATTTAAAAAAACAACCATAAAAGAAAAGTGTTAGTAAAGTAAGAAAGATCTTATTTAAGTATAAAGTAATGATTTATTTATAAGCTAAAAACTCCTTAAAACCTAATCTTAATCCAATTCAATCTAAGAGTTCAAATCAGATTACGTTTTTTGTATTTTGCCTTGAGCTATTTGATTTGATTTGAACTTTTTGTGTTATAATATAATGGACATTCATGTATACATTCATAATATTCCCCTTGGATGTCTATGATATTAAGAATATATCTTGTTAAAATCTTATTAAGAAAAAACCTCATGGGAAATAATTCGAGTGAAAAAAAAATACATAATTCTTTTTAAAAATACACTTATGAAATACTATCTCATGAAAAAACTTATCAAGAAAAATTTAGTAAGAAAAACTAGCTTAATAAAAAAAAAAGAATACAATGCGTATTTTACTTCTTGATGATTGCATTATTTAAGCTCTTTAAAATGATACATTCTAATCTTTTATACCAACTTTTCAAACATTACAATAGGAAAGGCTTTGGTAAATAAATTTGCTAAATTGTCACTTGAACGAATTTGTTAAATACTAATATCACTTTTTTCTTAGAGATCATAAGTAAAAAAGAATTTTGATAAAATATGTTTTGTCTTATTACTTTTAATGTATCATTTCTTTAACTAAGCTAAGTAGGCGACATTTTCCTTATATAACATTGTTGGAATTTCTTTTTCAGTTGGTAGCCTATATATTTCTGTAATATGTTGAATTACAGATCTTAACCAGATTATGAAACACTATAAAATAATTATACCTCCACATGTGAATAAGTAATTTGTCTGACATTGAGCCATGAGTGGATCAGATAAATATCTTTGATCTGCATAACCAATTAAATTTTATTTGAATACATTTAAGTAATATAAGCTCATGTTTGTTGTTGCTGGGAAATATTTAAATATATGTTTAATTCTATTCTAATGTCTATAGGTGAGAGAATAAGTATATCCTATTAATAAATTTATAGCAAATGATATATCAAGTCATGTATTACTAACAAGATAAACTAGTACTCCGATTGTATTAAGATATGGTACTTCAAAACTAAGAAATGAGGTCGAAAATAGTCATTTTTCATATTTAGTGACCCTACAACCATTAGCAACTCAATGGATATGCTTTGTCTATATAAAATCATTTTAGCCTTTGTTATATAATTTGATTGATGGATAAAAATTTTATTTGTCAAGTGCTTAATCTGTAAACTCAAAAAAACTTGATTTTTCCAAAATCTTTCATTTTAAATTTTTGTTTTAAGTAATTCACACCTTTTAATAACTTTTCAAAAGTTTCAATAATATTCAAGTCATCAATATAAAACACCAATGATGACAAATTCAAATCTTTTTATAAAATACATAGATATAGAAAATCATTTTTATGACTTTCTTTTAATAAATATTCACTAAAATGATTATACCACATGTGTTTGGATTGTTTAATCCATATACATATTTATTTAATTTGATTAAATATATTTTTTGGTAATTGTGTGCTTCAAGCAACTTAAATCTTTTAAGGATTTTCGTATAGATATTGATATCAAGATATCCATATAAATAAGCTGTAACTTCATTCATTAAACGAATTTCAATCTTTTCATTTATTACCATACTAATAAATTTAGAAATATAATTACATCTACCACAAAAGAACATATTTCTTCATAATCAATATTAAGTTTTTGGGTAAAATCTTGGGCAATAAGCTGTCCAAATATCATTGAAATAACTTTTTTTATCTAAATCACGTAATTATTAAAAACTTAAACTCAAATTATTAGTAGTGATTGACTTAGATCATCTTAAAAATCACATTTACATCTAATGTGAGATAAAATATCAAGTCTAATGGATATTCTTTTATTCAAATTTGAAAAACAGACATATTTTTCATAAAATTTATAAGAAAAAAAAAACAAAAAATGATGATAAAAAGGTCGAACTTATATTGAAATGTTCAATATTTTCTGAACATGCAAAAAAAATCCTTGAAGCCTACTTTCAAAATATCAGTAGTCCAAAGATGAAAGACAAAGCCCATTTAGAGTGCATACTTTGGGCTTAGTTAGGCATTCATTTCACTGGCCTAACTAGCCCAATGCCTCTAATTAGAATTCTGCTTTTCATGTGTGACAGAATCTCTAAAAATTGCAACAATTATGGTACTATTTATTTAGTAAGATCAGTAATGTACCCAACCACTTGTTTGAATTTATTTTCTTGATATAGTCAAATTAACATATTTTATATATAAAAGGAAAACTTAACTCAA